GGGGCGCGCGCGGGGAGTGGCGGAGGGAGGGCGCGCGCCGCGGCCCCCGGTGCCTCCCCCCTCCGCCTCCGCCTCCGCTGGGCGGGGGCACCGCACTCGCCAATGAGAAGTAGTCGCTGACTGCAGAGGAGAAAAAAAAAGTTTTCCTGTTGACTGTTGGAAGCGAATTGAGCAATTATCTAGTTTACCTTCTCCTCTTGGAAGTTAACGATTGGCGAGGTCTTGGCTGCGTTATTGACACAACACTTTCTATTGATAGAAATAAGTAGTGATTGTCCCCGAGTCATGGGCTGGCAGGAGTCCACTGGGCTGGGCAGGCAGGTTCGGCTGGTGATGCTGGGGAGGAGGAGGAGGCGGCTGCCGCTGGTGATGGTGCCCGGCCCCCTCTCCGCAGGTCTGTGACAAGGAGGGGACGCGGCAAGGACGGTGCAGCCCGGCCCCGGCCCACGGACGCCGGCCACTCCGACATGGACAGTAGCTGCCACAGCGCGACCACCAAAATGCTGGCGACCGCCCCGGCCCGAAGCAACATGATGAGTAGCTCCAAACCCTTGGCTTTCTCCATCGAGCGAATCATGGCGCGCACCCCCGAGCCCAAGGCCATGCCCGTCCCCCACTTCCTGCAGGGAGCCTTACCCAAAGCGGACCCCAAGCACTCGCTGCACCTCAACTCGCCAATCCCCTGCATGATCCCCTTCGTGCCGGTGGCGTACGACGCGGGCGCCAAGGCGGGAGTGGCGGGCGCCGAGGCGCGGAAGGCGAGTGCGGAGGCCCCGGCGGCGGTGGCGCCCGCGGCGCCCGCCTTCAGCTGCAGCGACCTGCTCAACTGCGCGCTCGGCCTCAAGGGCGACCTGGCCCGCGACGCGCTGCCCCTGCAGCAGTACAAGCTGGTAAGGCCGCGTGTGGTCAACCACTCCTTCTTCCACGCCATGGGCGCCATGTGCTACCTGAACCGAGGCGACAGCCCGTGCCACCCGGCGGCCGGCGTCAACATCCACCCGGTGGCCTCCTACTTCCTCAGCTCCCCTTTGCACCCGCAGCCAAAAACGTATTTAGCCGAAAGGAATAAACTGGTGGTCCCGGCGGTGGAGAAGTACCCCTCGGGGGTCGCTTTCAAAGACCTGTCCCAGGCGCAGCTGCAGCATTACATGAAAGAGAGCGCCCAGCTCCTGTCGGAAAAGATCGCGTTCAAAACGGCCGAGTTCAGCCGGGTATCCCCTAACGCCAAGCCCAAAGTCTTCACCTGCGAAGTGTGCGGAAAGGCAAGGCCTGGGCCCAGGCGGCGGTTTCTTCTTTCCCCCCTCTCCCTGCGCCCTCCCTGTCCGTCCCCCTTCCCGACCTTCTGGGGTTTGCTTTGGGGGTGTTTCCTTGCCCAGCCTGGTAAGGTTCCCGCCACCCCTGCACCCCTCTCCTGGTCGGGTTTGCTAGCGTGGAGCTCCCCCTGCTAACCTGCTCTCTGTGTGTTTAACTTTAAGGTGTTTAACGCGCACTATAACTTAACCCGTCACATGCCGGTGCACACAGGAGCCAGACCCTTCGTTTGCAAAGTGTGTGGAAAGGGCTTCCGGCAGGCCAGCACCCTGTGCAGGCACAAAATCATCCACACCCAGGTGTGTACTCTGACTCCGTTTCGCCCGGGACCCTTTGGGACTGGTTGTAGAAACGGGAACGGGAACGATGAACCTGTTTTGCATGCAGTTCGTTGGGCCGGGGTAGATGCCGCTTCTCGTTTGCCTTTGTTCTGGGTAAAAACCTTAGACTGTTGTTGAAGGTTTCTGGCTCTGGGTCTTCAGGACGCCACTTGAAAACGAAATCTCCTAACCCCTCCGCTTTCCCTCCCTCTTGTTTAGGAAAAGCCCCATAAATGTAACCAGTGTGGCAAGGCGTTTAACAGAAGTTCCACTTTAAACACGCACACGCGAATACACGCGGGCTACAAACCGTTTGTGTGTGAATTCTGCGGCAAAGGATTTCATCAGAAAGGTATTGACCGGCCGCCGGTGGGGGTGTTTCTCGTGACGTTCGCCGAAGGGCCTGGTTCCCTTTTTTGGGATCCTTTTGAAAGCTATTTGAAATTGCAACTAAATGTTGCCATTCCAACCTTTTACCGGCGGGCCAGGTTGTTACATAAAGAGAAAAAGTTGTGCTTGGCTTGCCGTGGAGATTGTTGCTTTTTAAAAGCACGTTCCATTATCTGTGAGTAGGTTTATAAGTGTGTATTAAAATATCGAAACAAGAGCGGCTCTTGCTGCTGATGTTAAAAGAATAAACTTGGAGCCGCAGCGGCGGCCGGGCCGCACTCGCTGGCCTCGCCCCCCGCTTTCCAAGCTCGCTTTTCAGCAGCTCATGCTTTTCATGTGTCTGTTTCAGGGAATTACAAAAACCACAAGCTGACCCACAGCGGGGAGAAGCAGTTCAAGTGCAATATCTGCAACAAGGCTTTCCACCAGGTTTACAACCTCACCTTCCACATGCACACCCACAATGACAAGAAGCCCTTCACCTGCCCCACGTGCGGCAAGGGCTTCTGCCGGAACTTTGACCTCAAGAAGCACGTCCGCAAACTGCACGACAGCGGCCTGGGCCTGGCGCGCACGCCCGCCGGGGAGCCGGTCACCGAGCCGCCGCCTGCGCTCCCTCAGCCGCCCCCCGCCGCCCTGCCGCCGCTGCCGCCACCCCCTGGACCCCTGCAGCCCGGGCTCCACTAGTGAGCAAGGCCAGGGTCCCCCCTCCCAGCCCCAGCCAGGGCCCCCACTGCCCAGACCAAGGCAGGCTAGAACTCGCCCTCCCTGGCTGTGCAGGGCACGGAGCACGTTGCGCGCTGCACTTCAAGGTCGACCAGAAACCTTGGAAGCCAGGCCCTTGGGCCCTCTTGCATGCACTTGCTACATGGTTTTGTGTATTATATTCTATATAGGCATCAAAAAAAATTGGGGGGTGGCGAGTTTGTTTTCTGTTTGGTTTGTTTTCTCATTTGGAGAGACTTTTTCATCTCAGGTGATGAGATGGTGTTTTGTTTTGTTTTTAAAAAAACAAATTTCTGCTGTATTTATTGAGATCTGTATTATCCTATCCGGGAATGCTGCACCGTTTTCATTTTATGATTGTATATATTGCCATTGTGCTGATTCTGCGAGCTCCACATGCCGGCTGGTGATGATTATTTGCTCTGACCCCGAGGTGGAGCGTGTGTGTGTGTGTGTGTGTGTGTGTGTGTGTGTGTCACTCACACACCTACACGCGCGGGTCGGCCTCTCGCCTCCATCAGCGGGCACCCAGGCGCGCACATGCACGCTAGCCCAGGGTTTGAGTCTTGCATGTGGAATTGGATTCATTAACTGTTGGAAATAAATACCTGGCACATGCTTATTTAATCCACAAACTTCAGGGCTCTGTTGATATTATTCTGCTCACTCTCCTGTTAGGCCATTTTTAAGCCGGGACTCGTCAGATCTGATGTTGGGATCAAAAAACTCACCAGAAACAAATACTAGTCTCTCAAAATAGTTAACAGTTGTGGCAAAAGCAACGAAATGTACTAAAGTTCTAAGATAGATGTGAGGGTTTTTTTTTTTAACAGAACCGGGCTTCTGGGCTTGGCATCTGAGCAGTATTGCACATAGTAGTGAGCTTATCTAGAAAGGGCGAAGAACAAATTCTCACCCCAGGTAGAAGGGTTTGCACGTATTGTTTTGCACCCTGCAAACACAAACTGACTTGCACACAGCTGGCAAGGGGACCCTCGTGTTATGTGTACGTGTGTTTATAGATGAACATGCTTCCATCCAAGCCAGAAACATGGACCACAACCAAACTGTGGCGGCTGCCAGGTCCTCGAAATGCTTCAAGTGTTAATCAGCAATTCTGCTGTGAGTTCAGGCTCGGGTGTTTTCTAACTGCAAGTCTCTCCTGTTTTCTTGCCAAAACAGTGAAACAACTGCTAAAGACTTTAATTAAGAGGGGTAATTAGTTCAGATTGATCAAAGCCGGGTTGTTATACTATTAGCTGCTCAGAAGAAGCTGCCAGACGAGCTCACAGCCCCGCGCTGTCGTCAGCCGGGCCACATCCGGGGAGCGAGGCCGGAGAAGCGGGGCCGCAGGGGTCCTCGCCCCGCCGCTGCCGTGCCCGCACACCTTCCGCACGTCTCACGGCTCCTCCCTTGATCTGGCGGCCGAGCGGCCCAGCTGCGGGCGGGATCCACTCACATGCAGGGCGCAGGCACCGGAGGGCCTTGGGGTGGCCTTGAGGCCGGGAGCACAGTGGCCTCACCAGCTCATAGCACAAGACGTTCGGAGAGAGGCGCGGAAGCCCGTTCAAATCCGCGGGTGCGTCTTGCTGCGTGCATGGAGAAGCGGCGGCGCTAGGGCTTCGAGAGGAGAACCCGGGGCATAGATCAGCAAAGGGTGCTACAGGGGCACCCAGTCAATTTCTTTGGCAATTTCAAGGCGGGGAAGCCTTAGGGGCTCAGAGAGCCCGGGGGCGTGACCTGAAGGGCTCCTCAGTGGCCCAGGAGGCAGGAAGGTGACAGGTGACCCCAGTGGGGTGAACGTGAACGAGTGGGGGAGTGGGCCCAGTAGAGACTCCCAGGTCAAGGCCAGTGTGCCGGGAAAAGAGGTCGCGGGAGGCGGAGAGTCCAGGGCTTGGGGTCGGCTGGGAAGGTTCCAGGCAGCAGGGACGTGACAGCACATCAAATGTGGCCTCTCCACTTTGCCACTGTCGTCTCAGGGCGCACGCCCTCGGCGATCTCGTCACCCTCGGGGAGCGGAGTGGGGTTTTTGATTGTCATCCCAACCATCATCAAATCGAATCCTGCGCTGTCTGTTTTCCTGCCCCACGACCTATGTTGTCCCTGTTGAGGTCAGATCCAAGTTCGATTTGACCTAGGAAGGTGACTTTGGAATCTGAATCCGTGTGGAAGAGTCTCTCCCTTCACAAGTGAGCTGACTTAACCATACCATTCCCTCGCAGGTGTCCCCACTGGGAAAAATGCATTCGGAGTTTAGGGGCCAGGCCTGACCCTAAAACCTATTGTTCTCTTAGCGCCTGGCAGGGCAAGGTCAGGGGGCATTCAGCGTACATATTTATGTCAAGGGGGCAGACTTTCCAAATGTGATTTTGCTATTTTGAAAAAACGGTAAAAGTTCTCAGGAAAGATATGCGCGTGGTGTTTTTTGCCTCCTAATGCATGATAGTGGGGTTTGTTTCTTACTGAAGAATAAGTATTAGAGGAAAAGCAGGCTCTGGCCATGGCAGCATTAAAGCCAATCAAAGCCCTTCGTGTTCCCAGACCAACCCACCAAAGACACACCAAAACAGCTTCAACAGAACGGGAGAAACTGGAATGACTTTCTCTGCTTTGGGGTGTTGTCAGCTCTGGGGAAGCAGGCAAGGGGACTCGTCTGCATACTCTGGAGTGTTCCGTGATCAGGTAAGGGAGGCCAAAAGGAAAGTCTCTAAAATGATCTGCTCTAGAGAGCTACTTGTCAGGAGGGGGATTAGGGATGAACTTTGGTTTATGACAAAGCTGTTAGAGCTTACTAAACAACAGGGAGGGTCCCCTTAAAAGACTGTCTGCGAGGGGAGGCTGCACTCATAAGGGTTGGGGGGGGGGGACTGATGAAGAGGAACACTCTGCTAATCGTCTATTGAAGACCTTATAATCCTCCCCCACCCCCGCCCGCCCCCAGCGCACACAGGTCTCTCTCTGTAGAAAAGTCTGTATGCATTGGCTTTTCCCTAGCCCATTCTCTTCTTTAACCAACGAAGAGTTAACCAATGAATTCTCTCCTCTTCAATGATCAAGACGGCTAATATGTAGATTCCCCACAGAAGGAGATGATTGAGGGCTTATCTTCAACTCTTTTTGTTGGAATGGATTTTTCATACAGAGAAAGAGAGTGGCTAAGGCTGCAGGGACCAGTTTTGGGGCTATGGAAGGACAGGAGGCTTACACTTGGTCTAGTTTAGTCAGAACGTGGAAGAGAGGTTGACGCCTGCCTGATTTACTTTTGAACACAACTGGGCTCATGTCCAGCAACGTCTCCTGAAGGCAGGCTGTCATTTACTCAGATTTACAATTTTGGTGTGAGGACAAGTTATTGGAATAAGGAAGGCTGAGACTAATGTGTCAGTTTTCAGAAAGCAGAATCTTTAACTAGGGACCTCATCAAAATAGTCACTTCATGGTGATATTTGAAGCTTTAAGAGGTTTGGGTGGGTTTTATTCCCCCCCCCCCAGAACTATACATTTTTCCAAATGTGGAAGAAATGAACCCACAGGAGCAATGAATGTAAGATCAATAATTAATACCCAGAACCCATGCATCTTGTTAGATCAATTTATGCCTTATATGAGTGCCAGTTATAAATGTCAGAATTCAAAATTTTGTCAAAGATGGTATTAAGTTAAAGTGTTCACCTAATTATAACTGTAGGGGTTATGTTTTGTCTTTGTAAATGAGTCTTCTCAAAATACTGTAATCTGCAGACCTCAGGCCAGGTTTTAATTGTTTTTGGTCAAACATTCTTCCGAGTGGTATAGCTCTGGTCTGTCTACAGAAGTAACTCCTGATTGCTGTGAGGCTAAACACTGTGACACTAATGTGTCAAATGTGATAATGGTTACCCATAGTGGACAGTGTTTGGTGGAGCTCCAAGATTAAAACAGGCTTGGAAGCAGAATGGCATCCACTTCTGAAATAGATTGTCTCCGGAAACTCTATGAACTTAGAGAAATGATGAAAGTTAGACAAGTGTTCAGATCTTTAGTTCAGAGGGTCACTATGAGTTGTCTATGACTCGATGGCACTTAACAACAACAACAACATGATGTTGAGTCAGAATCCACTCATAGCTGATCCTCCAGTGACTTTTCAGAGGCTGTAAATCACAGGAGAGGAAATTGCCTGTCCTTCCTTCCTTGAGCAGCTGGTGGATTCACACCGCCTGTATTGTATTCTGTATGGTGGATTCACACTGCCTGTATTGTATTCTGTATTGTAAAGCCTTACCGCTAGGCCACCAGTTGTTGTGGTGATGTGCTGTGGGGCATGACTCATAGTCATCCTAGGAACAACAGATCTTAGTCCTGTCTTATCCCGTGCATCCTCTTCATCTCTGACACACTTGAGGCCATTGTCACAGGCACTGTATCAATCCATCTCTTTGAGGGTCTTCCCCTCTTTCGCTGACCCTCCACCTTTCCAAGCCTTATCTCCTTCTTCAAGGAATAGCTTCTTCTAGCAACATGTGAGATGAAGCTTTGCCATGCTTGCCTCCAAGAAGCATCTGGCTGCACTTTGTCTAAGACATACCTGCTTGTTTTTTTGTTAGTCCATATGATATTCAGCACTCTTCACCACAAAAGCTCCAAGGCGTCAATTCTTCTTCTGTCATCCTTATTTATTATCTCTCTCTCAAATACATAGCAAGTGATGGGAAAGACCACGACCTGAATCTGTCACATGTTTAGTCTTCAACTTGATACCATTGCTTCTCAGTAATTTGGAGAGATCTCTGACAGCAGATCGCCCAATTGCAAAAAGTCTCCTGATCTCTTGACTGCTAGAACCAGAGGTGTTGATTGTGGATCCAGGATGAAATTGTTGACAACTTCAGCCTTTTCTCTATATATTATGATGTTGCTTATTGGTCCAGTGACAAGAGTTTTTGTCTTCTTGATGTTGAGATGCAATCCATATCAAAGGC